AAGTGGAGAGCAATTTTATTTTCAAGTGTCGCTCCACTTGTATAATAACATGGCGTATGTGCTTGTGTTCCAGACACAATGAAAAACCTTTCATAGTCAACAGATGCGTTACAAGTCACAACTTAAGAATCCAGATTCCTTCACAAATTAACCGCATAATCTTTAATAAATACAATTATTAAGGGATTAATAGCTCTAATACTTTTCTAGCTGAGACAATTATTAAAGGTTTAATGTAATGGCAGCTAATTAATGAACTTTTCCCCCTATTTTCTAACAATGATGTGATTCGGAAATTCATTAATTTAAAGTTTCAACCAATAACCATACATATTAATTCAGTCCAATAATTAAAGGTCGCATTATTCTGTATTTGTAGAAAAATATTATTGGGTTCGATGGATCTCTGTCAATGTGTCATATTTCGAAGCAGAAAATAAGGACGTTTGGGATAAAAAGTAAATTTCGTTTCCGATACGTCCCCTACATGCATGTGCATGCTCTTAAGTATTATCAACACTACGTACCAATACATGGTTTAATAGCATGACTAAACAAGTAAAAAGGTTCTTATGCAGGAGATATTTTTTAGTGTGTCGGGATTACGGAGATGTACATGCATGTTATTATATAATCGAGGGGAAATTTATTTCTTTCAAGTGTTTCTTCAATTGTACAATATGACATGTGTTGTTCCGCCCCGTATTTGGACACATTGAAAAATATTTTATTAGGTGGATTAATTGGTAAATATACTTTGTACTTAAGCAGATAATTTGATTGAATGCATGTTTCATTAGTCGGGAATATTCGATATTCATGAATGGCAAATGAATACTCTCTTTGAGAATAAAAGTAAGAAAAAATTGGTAACCAAAGTGTATATAATTATAATTACTAGGATTTAAGGTTTTATTTCCAATAGAGGGCTTATATTTTGAGAAGTATGGTACTAGAAACGAGTTATAACAAAAAAATTTCAGCTAAATAAATTCATGTATTACAATAATACAGTCATATTGTTTCTAAAAAAAATGTGAGTGCTGATAATTAAACTCATCTTACTGTCTTATTTTCCCACTCAGTTTTTAATAAATAAATATAAAAAAAAACTTATACCAATTTACCTCTTGTAAATGATATCTAAGAACCAACGCAAAAAAGAAAAAGAAGATTCTCTTCTCTATTCACCATCTCTCTACAACTATCTCAATTAATTCTTTCAAATAAATATTTTCTTTACTTTCTATTCCTCTAGCTGAATTATATATAATAGTTGTTCAAAACATTTTATTAATTAAATAATTATTTGAAATTTTGAAAAATGAAATGAGAGATCAAAAGAAGAATTGGGCTTTGAAGGTGTGAGATTAGGTTGTCGCGAATTTAGAAACGGGACATAAGGATGAGATTTTTGGAATGAGGCAAGGCTTGGTCAATTGGTTGTGAGATTTGGAAAGGGGAAGGGGTTGCGTTGGGGATATGGAGAGAGGGAAGGAAGGAGGGTTGCAATCACTTGGAGATCTGGGAAATGAGCACGTTCTGTAATTCTAACCGGAATAAAAATTAGGAAGAGAGGCCTTGGCGGTGAGTGGAGGCTGGGTTGGGCTTATCAGCACTCTAATATTTATTCTTCTAAAAACTATAAAAAAGATTTAGATATATATTAGAGGTTATTTTAAAAATAATAGCGGGTGGAAAGATAGTATATTAATTTTTTAACTTTTTGTAGTGGGTGAGATTATTGGTGGAGGGGGAGGTGGAATAAGACATTTGGTGGGTCTAACAGCACTAAAAAATGTGTAGTAATGGAACATTGTCGCGTGATATAATAAATTTATCCATATTATAAGTTATAACAATATAATATGAACTCATCATACACTCGCATCATAACACATGAATTTGTGATACCATATGACTGTATTCCAATATGATATCCTAATATTTTCAACATAAACTTATAACTAAATTATAGGATACATGTCATGTGTGAATATGGAAAACTACATCATTGAAATGTATGATCTTATTAGTGAAAGAAAATATCAAAGTCATATAGATTGAGGTTTAGCTTAATGAAGACGAGTATTGTACACCCAAAACTTAAGATTGGCTTGATAATTTTGGAAGTTGACTTGCCCATTGCAATTTGCAAGATTGGCGTGCTGGGATGCACAAGGCTTTGCCACAATTGAAAAATGGAGCAATGTGCGCACCATGCCATTGCCACTACCCAAATTCATACATCATTTAAAAATGGTGAGTCGACCACTCAAATTTTCAAGTCATTTATTTCTTTCCAAATTAGTGGAAGAACTAGAGCATGTCAACGACCTTCGAAACCTAAGTGCGAAATATATGAAAAATCATAGAACCCCAAATAAGGTAGCTTTCTAGTACCATATCGACAAGGAAATTTAACCACCACACTAAGCACCCCATTCATTTCCCATCCGACTTCTTCCATACAACTTTCACCATCATTTATCCCAAGACTACGATATGTAATTTCTTGGGAGTCATTTTATGGAGAGATTTTAAATTATGCTATGAACACGAGCCGGTACAATAAGTATCATAACACAAGCTAAAAAGTGGTTGGATACTTGAAAAAATAAAAATAATTTCATTCACTTGTATTATAACTTAATGTGACAGGCCATGTTTCGGCATATTAAAAACTTTCTCAAATTTTTATGTGGAATAAATAAAAAAATAAAGATCTTAACATTTATATACTGGTGTTTGAGCTAGAGCTAACTAAAATTAAAGGTTTTTTAAGCCAATATGGTTATGGAGATAGACATTTCTTACTTTGGTTTTTGAGATTTGAAATCAATAAAAGTGGTATTTGAGTTTTTGAAATTTGAAATCAATAAAAGTGGTATTTGAGTTTATCCATCATTAATCATTTTGATCATTCTGTATAAAATTCTGTTAAATAAGCACCAAAAATGACAAAACGCTCTTAATTTAATAAATAATGATCCAAAATGATATGAAAAAAAAAATTGAAGGTATTATTGTTGTTTTATCATTATTTAATAAAGATTTTCACGGAAAAATTAAAATGATTGATACTGAACAGACTCAAACATCAATTCTATTAATTTCGAATCTCATAGACTAAATTGAGCAGTTAAGCAAGTCTCAACGATCATTTTGGTTGAAATGTCAAATTTTAATTAGGAATTAATTAAAGAAATGTTAACTAACTATTTTTTTAGGAAAGTAAATACCCATCTGGTGAGGCATCTGGATTTGATTCGGGTCGGTTAAAGCTTGAAAGGGAGTTCGTGGCCTACTAGGAGTTCTGTTTTCTGAGGACTCATAGAACACCTTATTAATCTTAATTCAACTGTCCTACAGGAGGTACCCCGGATAAGCTACTGAAGCCGCTACTCGTGCTAGTTAATCCATAATGAAAGCACGAGTGCTAAAGAATCTGCCGCTAGCTCTACGAATGATGGTATAGGTTACACTTGAAAGAAGGGAACTTTAACGAAAAGCTTCCGGTACTATTTACTTTAACGAAAAATCACATTTTTACACTAAAAAGTCAATCATGATACTATTCATTTTACCCTTTACTTTGTCCTTATCATTAAAACTCAAAATTTTCAAACATTTTTCATTAGTTTTCTTTGAAAAAATGGATGTACGGCTCCAAGTATGGAGAAAGATCCGATGCGGGCTGTGGATATCCTCTTATATAACAGTCCAACTCAACCACGCGAGCGCGTGACCAGCACGCACCAACAAAACCCAGCCACGTTTGCCACATCCCCACCCACAAAGCGGAAGCGCGCGTGGAACATCTACATCCCCTCCGCTGCACACTTTGACAATGTACTTACAAACAACCCAGTTCAATACGATTACCATCGGGACCCACAGTCCCCACTCGATGCGTCTGATTTCAACACGTGTCCCAAGACCCCCAGATCTACGTAGAACCGGACGGCTCCTCCAAAAACGACGTCGCGCCTTGCGCCGTACACGGCACAGCCAACGGTCGGAGGGTGCAAAGTTGCTGCCACTGTACTTATCGCCAAAATACCGTCCCACGTTAAGACAATGTTAAACCATTGTTGGCAATTAACTACCAACCAACATCGTGATTAGAACCCCCTAATCTACATCTATCTATATTATTAAGAGATGTTATTAAGAGAAGAGGGATTGTTAACTTTTTACCCCATTTTTTTCTAATTTTATCCTCACTTTTGAATACACAATGCTGACATGAAGATGGTGAAATAGTAATTTTGTATTTTAAAAACTTTTTTCATTTTTCTTTTCTTCTTATTTTGACCTCACTTTTAATATATAATATTTATATAAGGAGGGTAAAATAGTAATTTTATATCTAAATATTTATATAAAAAATATGCACTTATTAAGAGAAATTATCCCACAATTATTTTTTCATACACGTAAGTGAAATCATAATGTTTTTTTATAGTTTAAATGAACTGAAGCGGTTGCGCTTGAGGAGAACGTAGAGAAGGTGGACTGTTTTTCCCACTTTTTTTCCTATTTTGTCTTTACTTTTGATACAAACTATTGACAAAAAGGAGGCAAATTAGGAAAAAAAGTTGACAATGAGGCTTCTCTTGATAATAGTATAGAAAAAATATGCACTTATTAAGAGAAATTGTTCACACATACACAAAATGTGTGCTATGATATCTGCTAGTCACAGAATTAAATGCTTAATCCTTAATTATTAACTCCAGGTGCGGGACCTGCGGAACGATAAAAGCCAACTTATCGCGATAAATTGTCGGCGTGCGATCGAACCGGCGACAACGAACCGCCATCTGATCCGGAGCCACGATTTCGCCCTCGACGTGTCGAGAATGGAATGCGGGGATTTTCGACACGTGTTCAAGACAATAATTGGCGGTGGGCCCGGCAGGACCGCCGTATAGCTGGCTGGCATTTATTGGAGGCTTCGGGCACTTTTTATGCAAATGTGTTAGCACACCAACGCCCACTCGACCCCGTCGGTGCACGTCACGCACGCCTTTCACGCGTTTTTCGTTCCTCTCTCTCTCTCCTCTCTCTCTCTCTCTCTCTCTCTCTAGAATTGCTAGCAACACATGATGTCATGACACCACCACCACCACTGCTCGTCTTCTTCCCTCTCTCCTTCGCCTACATCCCAATCTCTCTCGCTTCTTAAATCGCTGCCCCCCCCGCGGCGAAAGCTGCAGCGACTGATATCGCCGGAGAACACGGCGGATCTGGGAGGGAATTGCAGCTCGCATTTGGGTTTGGATTGCCCGGGTCTGGAATTCGAGTGTGGCGGCAAAGATCGGAGCTTTGCAATTTTTTAATTTGGGATTTTTGTTTTTGCTGTGAGAAATTAGGGATCTTGATGCAATTTTTGGAGGGAATCTTCGAGCGCGAGAGTTTTGGAGCAAATCTTTGAGGAATGTGGTGAGCATTTTGGCTCCGTTTTGGGAAATCGGGTTCTCGGATCTTTGCTGTTTTCTATAAATAGCGGGAGCTCAAAAAAGGAAAGCCATTTTTTTGGATCCGGTATCGGCCAAGACGCACCGTTTTGGGCCACTGCGTTGATGTTTGTAGGGGGAGGAAGAGAGAGAATATACAGAGATTGATGTGCAAGGTGGAGAAGAAGGAGAGGAAGGGAGTGATGGGAATTAAGGTACTGGGAGGCGGCGGAGGAGGGGAAAAGTTAAAGAACTCGATGCTGGTCACGGCGGCGTCGTCGCCGTCGAGGTCGAAAATGAAGCTGTGGATGATACGTGCGACGACGTCGATTTTGTTGTGGACGTGCATCGTGCAATTAATGGCGTTGGGGGATATGTGGGGGCCTAGGGTTTTGAAAGGCTGGCCTGCTTGTTTCTCTCAGGAGTCCGCCGCCGCCTCCTCCGTCTTGCAAGACCCATTGCCTTCTCTTCCGGTCAGAGCTCTTCCGCCCAAGAGTGAGTCTGTTATTATTTTCTACATTTTCAGGAAATTAGGGGCGTTATGAAGTTTTTTGGATGTGGGTTCTTGTAAGTAATTGCTAATCACTCCAAATGGCAATTGGGTTGTTTTTGGATGATAATTATATGATTGTTCTGCGTTTTCTGATTTTTTGAAACCAACCCAAATCCTCACTTTTTGTGTGTAATGCAAACTAGTACCTGGAGAAGTCTAGTGTCCCACCAAAATTAATAGCTCAGCAGCTGCTTTGGCTCCAAGCAATGAAATACTAGAAGGTAGAAACTTGTAATCCAAAAAGCAGCTAGCTAGTCCAAAAAGCAGTTACAAACCGGTGGAGTATGGTGATATGGTGATAGTGTTTGAACTACTAATGTAAATTACAGTAGTCTTTACCCTTTTCATCTCTGTCCTGACTTTGTTTGTATTGGTCCTTATATTTTTCTTTGGTTTGGGATGATTGTTGAATCGGCCTTTAATCTAAATTTGTTTTGTTTGCCATCAGGAGTTTATAAAAACAATGGTTACCTTATGGTCTCATGCAATGGGGGACTCAATCAAATGAGAGCAGCGGTAAGTGGTTGGCTGTTTACTTTGTATTTAACCGGAATTCATCGCTGTTGATAACTTACTTGACGTTTAAGTGCATGATTACAAGTTTCAATTTTTCTTTCTTGGTGGTGATGTCTACAGATATGTGACATGGTTGCTATCGCAAGATATTTGAACGTCACTCTTATAGTCCCTGAACTTGACAAAACCTCCTTTTGGGCTGATCCCAGGTATGCCAATATATTTTTCCTAACATTTTCAAGTTATTGATTGTTGTTTAAACTGTAAAAGGGTGACTAGGTTTCTTCCACCCAGTATTGAGAGTTCTTACCTTCTCTTGATATGGCAGTGAATTCAAAGACATATTTGATGTGGATCATTTCATCACATCCTTGAGAGATGAGGTTCGCATATTGAAAGAGCTGCCTCCCCGGGTAAAGAGGAGGGTGGAGCTAGGAATGTTTTATACCATGCCACCAATTAGTTGGTCTGACATGTCTTATTATCGTAATCAGGTTAGTTGTTTGCATTGTTCTCTATAACTTAGCTGGAAATTCTATATGGTGCCAGTCTTAAACATTTATAAACCACATCATAATTGATTGAAATAAAATCCTTATTCTTCTTTCTGTTTCGTACAGATTCTTCCTCTGATACAAAAATACAAAGTTGTACATCTAAATAGAACTGACGCTCGACTTGCCAATAATGGACAACCTTTGGAGATTCAGAAACTTCGCTGCCGAGTAAATTTTAGTGCTCTGAGATTCACTTCTCAGATAGAGGAGTTGGGTAGAAGGGTTATCAGGCTTCTAAGGAAAAATGGTCCATTCCTTGTACTTCATCTTAGATATGAAATGGACATGTTGGCATTTTCTGGTTGTACTCAAGGTTGTAACATCGAGGAGGTGGAAGAGTTGACAAGAATGAGGTAACTTATACTTGATACTCAATGGATAAAGTGCAATAATATATTAATTTGTCTGTCTGATGGTTTCATTTTGGCAGATATGCTTATCCCTGGTGGAAAGAGAAAATAATAAATTCCGACCTGAAAAGGAAAGATGGTTTGTGTCCTTTGACACCTGAAGAAACTGCTCTTACATTGAGTGCCCTTGACATTGACCGCGATATTCAGATTTATATTGCAGCTGGTGAAATCTATGGTGCAGAGAGGAGAATGGCAAGTCTTGGAAAGGCTTTTCCAAAATTGGTAAGTACAAGAAAGCTGAAGCCTTCTTCTGTATTTTATATTTGGTTATTTTTTAGTTTTCAGTTCTTACAAGTTGTCTTTGATTTTGTTCAAACAGGTCAGAAAGGAGACACTGTTGGAACCATCAGACCTTAGGTTCTTTCAAAACCACTCATCCCAAATGGCGGCATTGGATTATCTTGTCTCATTGGAGAGTGATATTTTCGTTCCCACATATGATGGAAACATGGCTAAAGTTGTTGAGGGCCATCGCAGGTACTTTCTGCTTACAGGGTAGTCTTTTGTTCATAGAAAAAGTTATATGGAAAATTTTCAATGCATCTTGTGGATTTGTTTGGCGTCGGTTGGTTGATTTTATAATTCAAACCCCAGCCAGTTATTTGCCGTCCCAAATTGTCTCTTTGAGGAGACGATTATTTGTGGACGCTCCTATGCACCAGTCAACTTTTGAAACAACTGCCAGTTTTGGAGCTTTAGTTCATCAACAGGTTCATATATTGGAATCCTTGATATTTGTGATGAAGGATGTATTTTCTACATGATTAACTTCATGCTATTTTCCTCAGTTTAACTGTTACATGATCGGCTGCCCTTATTTCTTATTAATGGTGAAAGTTGTCGTGTAAAATTAAACATTGTATGTTCATGATTCTTCAGGTTTCTTGGGTTCAAGAAGACGATTCTACTGGACAGAAAGCTTCTTGTTGATCTGATAGACCAGTACACTAGTGGGTCATTGGGTTGGGATGAATTTTCATCTGCAGTAAAGGAAGCTCATGCAAATCGCATGGGGAACCCAACTAATAGGTTGATGATTCAAGACCGACCTAAAGAAGAGGACTATTTCTATGCCAACCCGGAAGAGTGTTTGCAACCATCAGATGATGAACTAAGTAGTACGTGATACATAATGTTAGACGACTTCTGACACTCATCCGTGTTCTACAGCGCTGGCTACTTTCCCACACAGATCTATTAGAAAAAAATTGTCTACATAACGAGCGTTTTGTCCTGAGGAGGCGATGGAGATTGTCCAAGTGGAAGTAATCTTCAAGAAGAGCCCGAGGGGATGCACGTATGGTACGAGCTGTAGTACATCTTTTATCTTTTGTATAAGCCGAAATAATCCATCCAAATCATGTATAGAAGCTACCCTGCCATTCAGGGGTGGGAACGAAATTAAACTGCACTCTGTGTGGGGAGGGAAGATCATATATAGCTTTGGTTTTTTACTGGAACTGCGAAAAATCATCAAGAGGTGAATCCCTATTCCTTACATTTTTTATTTTTTTTTGTAATTTTTTTGTTTCTTTCAGATCAAACCCTATGGTATTGTGATTCCCTTAGCATATTATATACTACATCCTCAAAGTTTTCTGCTTGCATGCACAGATCGTTCTCACTTTCCCCCGTTTTGCAACACCGGTCACCGGTCTCGGTCCAACTCGGAGAGAACGGCCAGGCCGGCCGGGATCCGATGATTGTGCATTTTTACACAAATACTCCATTAATTTATTTTGTTCCATAAGTGTTTGGTTTACTTGGAGATCAAGGTTCCAATTCCATGTAGATCTCATACGACAATGACAGGTCAAACATGTTGCCCTAACCATACGTCGGCTTCCATTTTTGTTGACAATTTTGTTCCCAAAAAATTGGTGGTGTTATAAATTGGCAAAAGTTAGAGAGATAACCTTTGTTAGGACATGAGCGAAGCGGGTGTAAAATATCACTGTTTAGTTTCGTAACTATAACACAAAATGATTGCAGGTAAAAAGAGGAAATGAGGGATACTGATATTATTGCTTTCAGTTCTTTTCTTTTGCAGTGTGTATTGTGATCACACACGGAGTGCTCTTTATATAGAGCAACATCCGTGACAAACCAAACAAATGAAATGATTGCCTATTTTGAAAACATTACACAACAACCAATACATCACTATTTTCAAATCTTCCTCACCGTGGGCATTCATTCTCACAATTTTACAATAGGTTGGTGGAAGGGCTATTTTTTAAAATGGATTTGGAAATTTGAGAAGAAAAAAAGGAAAGAAATATAGTTGTGGGAATATTTTTGTCGGTGGAGATTTGGTTTTCCGTGTGAAGGGAAAGTGAAAGGAATGATTTGGTCCCTTGATTTTCCTTAGCTGGCATTGGCATGGGAACCTTGTTGTATATGGCAAGCATGTGATCGGGATAGCTTTGTGCACCCATATTTTGGGGAATGGAATGCAGGTGAGTTTGAGTGTTTTTTTCGTTTAAGGAGTTGGTTGTTGAGAGCATCTCGAAATGATGTGTTAAAACTGTCACATTGATATACAATAGTAAAAAATGACAGAAAATTCTTGCTAACTAAACCTTCAATTTCTTACTTGGAGATGAGCCAATTGAAAGTAAGCCTTCTGGCGTCAAATTTGACAGCTGTTGTCAAATTGATTTAATGATTTTTAGAATAAATAAATAAATATTGTGTGTTTAAGTATTTGACTGATTGTCTCAATAATTGGATTCCAAAAAGAGCTAAAAAGAATTATAGAATGATATTTTTATTTAACATATCGGGTGGAGCAAAAAAATGTATAAAACGTGAAATTACCACATAAGCCGTCAAATATCGTTTTGATGTTTTACATTTGACATCTCATTTGGTGATGTTTTACCATGCCATGATCATTTTTCTTTGCAAATAAATTACAACTTCTTGTGCGTATATTAATTCTTTTTCTTTTTTGTGATCTCTGAATAAGCTACTTGGTGTCACAACTCACACATTGAAGGGAAAATTTTGGATTCAATAAGAGAGGTCAACTATTAAATCTAAATCAAATAAAAATCAAAGCCAGACAACTTGATTCTTTATATACAAAAATCAAACTCACATATATCACCATAAAAAACGTTCCAAGCCCTAAAGTATTGAGCTAAATTATTATTATTATTAGTTTGGTTAAGAAAACTAGTGGTTCTTTTCCCCTAGGACAAACAATAACCACCACCACAAGAACCAAAAATGATCTCATCATCTCAATTAATCGGAAAAATAATACAAAAGATACCTTGATAAATACAAAAGTGTCTTTTAATATTTTCATCATTGTTTTAAATACTATTACTTTGTCTTGTTTCGATAATATATATATATATATATATATATATATATATATAGTTACATACAATATATAAGTCAATCATGATAGAGAAGAGATGCCTAGAGTTTTATGTGCTTTTTTTTTTCTCTTATAAAAAATTTATATAATATTTTGAGAATAGTTTTGAGATTTGTATGATCCAAGAAATCCACAGTGACCAAAGAGCAATATGTCTAGTAACTTATTGGTCGATGCTCAATGACCCCAATAACCACCAAGGGTGGTCCATTAGTTGGGAACGAATTCCAAATCGTATTCCACTCAGCATATCCTGGGTTCGATTATTTTCGTTAGTAAATCGCACGATGATGGTCAAATGAGACTAAAATACCTTTGTGAATCCTTTCATTAAGCAGAGTTTAAGTTGCGTTCGCTGTACGTCGCCTTGAGTATGAAGGGAAATGCAGAAACACCATAACTTGTATTTGAAGTCAATAAATAAAGAATCATTATCTTTTACTGCACGAGTGTGATGGTCATAAAACTCAGATATCATCTGTTCGGTTGATATTATATGCATATTTTTTAGTCATAGTTTTAAATGAAATTGTTGAGTATATTATATAATGTATATAAAATTATAAGTTGGAAGTTTTCTGGGTTTACGATGCTCTTAGGTAATTGAAGTAAGAAAAAGTCTTCAGAAGACGATCCCTATGATAATATTCACCCGATCCAATGTTTTAAAAACTTGATCCAACCATTTATTTACTAATTAATTAATAACTTAATCACTCTTATTGGTTGCTGAGTTTGGTGTAATCTTCAAATTATGCTATTATCATAATCTAATTAATCATGAACAGTTTAATTAATAAATTATATAGTTTCGTATCAATGAACAATTTATAAGATTGGGTCCATCTTAAGGTAGTAGGCTAGGCTGGCATACCTCTTATTGGGTTGGCCCAAATCATTTGAAGGAAAAGAGTCAACGGAAAATGATTTTCGCACTCTTTTTCTTTCTGTTTCTTGCACATCCTTATTTGCGTTTCTTGATTCTGTTTTGAGTTTTCAATTCAAAGCTAGAAAAGAAAGAAAGAGGCGTGGAGTCACTACCCTTATGCATGTGATGTAGTCTCTTGTGCAAATCCCTAACGGCGGACATCAAGTGCAGGTCTAAGTGGCGACCGATCGTAACAATCTCTTATATGAACCCTAATAGCGCACATCAGGTGCATAATTAAGTGTCGAACTAAATATAAGTTAGAATACGACTATGAATTTGAGAAAGCCAATAGGATCCTCTTCGGATCCTTTTGGTGAGGATCCTAAGGATCCATAAATCGTGTCTATTCATCGTACATCGTGCAGTCAGTTTTTGTCATGTACTATTTGTATTTAATTTTAAATAAAAATATTTAAAATGATTTCTGACCGTATAATGTACGATAAATATATATGATTCATGGATCCTTGGGATCCTCACAAAGAAGATCCGGCGTGGATCCGGATTCTTGAGAAAGGTACGATAAGTGATCAGCTTCATGATGAGAAAAATATACATTCTCGCAAACAACCACTGCATCATGTGCAAGAACAGGTTGTTGTTAGACCAGCCCAAAAAGGGCTGCATGGAATAAATTATGATAAGAAATAAGCAAGATAAAAAAAAATCATTAGTACTTCATTCACAAGAAATAAAAATTACAAGAAGAAAAAGCAGCCTCAACTGGAAATAGCAAAAGCAGCTTCTCAGCATTAGAATGGAAGCCTTAACAATAAAAGAGATTTTGTTTACACTCAAATCTCGTCTCTGGACACCAAAAACAATAAATAATATTTCGGTTGGGAAATCTATGGAATTTGGATCCCAACTAACTAAATACACTGTAAGAAATGAGAAACTACATGTACATTGTACACAATAAATCTCTATCTTGATTGGGTAGGTTAAAATACACCAGCATAAGACATAAACAACAACGATAAAACCTTATCTCACTAAGTATGATCGATTATATAAATCCTAAGATGTCACTGCGCTCGGTTTAGTGCCAATTCTTCCGCCACCAGCAGAAGACATGAATAATTATAAACCCCATTCTTCATCAAAGGGGTTCTTAAAAAATGAATTAATTATATTTAAAAAATAATAATTAATTAGTTTCTGCATGTCTTGAGTTTCTTTTGGGCGTGTTCAGATTCTTCACTGCTTGCAATTCCAGAGTGCTTTTTCCCTAAAGTGCTTATGGGAATCTCATTTTCCTGCAGCAGAACGACAGACAAGTTTAGCTGTGTTTGTTATACAAGCTCAACTTCCATGCGTTTTGTGACAGCTACACGAACATGACATACCTTAATAGCAGATTTTGGTATAGGTGATCGCCTATTTGCTCGCTTCCCTAGCTCGATTTGCACGGAGATGCTGGCCAGTGACAAATCCACGCCGGAACTCTGCAGGGCTTGTGTCAGCGTATTCAATAACCTGTCCAATGCCGAAATCCGCTTATGTCATTCACTCGTATATCTATACGCATCTTAAACGTTGAGATTTCAAGGTTTATGATTTGCACATTTTCGAAATAAGCTCAATAAACTCGAAACAAACACGGAAAGACCGATTGAATATGTAACTTAGAGCACAAGAAAACTCACCCTTGGGAGTAGGCACTTGAGATGTTAATTCGACCGCCTTCAATTGTCAGCTCCTGTTCTTTCAGCTTATCCCGAGTAGCAGCACCATCAGTGGTACGTGATATCGTCTGACATAACATTGGTTGATGTCGAGATGTGTTCTCTGCATCAGATGGCAATCTCGGTGGAATTTGAGGTACTGCGGCGGCAGCACCACTAGTCCTGACAGGAGTGAAGAAGTTTGGCTGCATTGACAAAGGAAAGGGCATCGGCTTGCTTGTTATTCCAGGGTGGTGATCCACTGCTTTGACGGTAGTTTCAGTACTTGTGTCGGATTCTACAGGGTTCTGAGCGCAGCTTCCGGGGATTGCCGGTGAGACAGAAGTAGGTTTCTCATCAAACGTTGCAGCAAACGCTAATGCAGGAGCAGACCCACCATTCATGCCTCGAGATTGATCGCAGTAACTTTCCCTAAGCTTGTGATTGTTTCTCTGTTTCGAGAAAAAGATTAATGAGTCTACTAATAGGTCGCGGTATGAACAGCATACATGCTACAAAGGATAAAGGCCTGACTTCTTACCCAAGGCATCAATTTTGCTGGATCAGGATTCCATCCTTGACATGAACCCTCGTACTTGTTTACCCGTTCCTGTAAAAACTGAATGTATTCGACAACCTGAGAAGCGAAAAGATTAAAACCCGGTCATTCAAAAATTCGAAGGGAAAGGAATAACTTATAACAGTTAATAATTGTACGTACCTCTAGTAAAAACGACGCCTTGTCTCTCTTTTGATCACTGTGAGGAATGAGCTCTCTCAACATTTGGAATCTGCACATATAACTTTCAAGGGTCAATCTACGACTATGTTGGCAAAACCGCCAA